ATAAGAAATGCAAAAAATGTTGTAATCTTTCCCATTTAATCTAATGCCAGATCATTCCATTTATAATTGTTCGAAACTTCGTAAGATTGCCAAAGGTAAGGAAAATACGTTAGTTATCCAAATTTATTTTTCGTACAAGATAGAGGCAAAGTCGGGTTAATACCACAAATCTAATCTTTATTTTCATTTCCATTCGGTCCGTTAGCCGGGTCGGTAAGGAACCGGATTTTATCCAGCCAAGAAATTTAACTCGGCAACATTCCTCAAAATAAGTTGGGAAGTGTTTTCGCCGCTACAACAACCACAAAGAAAGTTTAAAAGCATGAAACTCTGATTCACAAATAGTTTGCAATTCAGTAGAGATACTGGCGCAGACAAGCGGGCATATTACCTAAAGGGTATGTTTTAAATTGTATATATTGTATATGTAATATAAATATATATATTTATGTATGTGTATATTTAGGGTCTATGTCTTTGAGCGTCTGGGTTCAACTAACTGCTCGTGAATTGTAATGATACTCGAACTTATGGACCTTTTATATTGCCTCAATTTTAGTCAAGAGTAAGCACCTAGAGTCACGAAATTCTAGATTCCTGCTTTAAATACTTATACATACACACACACGCATATGTAAATATATCCAAATACAAGTGTTTGTGCTAGAGGATGGGCGAATGCACATTGGAACTCAATATATGAAGATGCACATATTTAAATTTTAAATCTGCATATATCTTCATACATACATATTTATGTATGTTCTATACAAATATGCATGCTTCAGTCTCTTTGCATTACCAATACACATGTATGTTTGTACGAGTGTGTAGCATCAAATATTTTATGTATCTTAATGGCGAACTGCATATCTGCTCGCTAAAATTTTATACTCTCGCAACCTGTTGCTACAGAGTTATAATAGTTTTACCTAACGGTTGTTTGTATCACCTAAAACTAATCGAGTTAGATATAGGGTTATGTATATTAAATGATCAGGATGAAGAGACGAGTTGAAATCGGGTGACTGTCTGTCCGTCCGTCCGTCCGTCCGTGCAAGCTCTAACTTGAGTAAAATTAGATATCTTATGAAACTTGGTAGACATGTTTCTTGGTACCGTGAGACGGTTGGTATTGCAGATGGCGTAATCGGACCACTGCCACGCCACAAAACGCCATTAATCAAAACAAATAACTTGCCATACTAAGCTCCGCAATAAGATACAAGACTGTTTTTGGTACACAGGATCAAATTAGGGAGGGCATCTGCAGTTAAACCTTTTTAAAGTGGGCTGGTCCCGCCTCAATAGTTTAATAAGCATATCTCCTAAACCGCTAATGCTATAATAACAAAATTCACTAGAAGCAAATTTTTAGAACTTCTATTGACGGTGTGAAATAGTTGAAATCGGTGGCAACTCCGCCCACTCCCATATAACGGTACTGTTAAAAACTACTAAAGCGCGATAAATCAAGCATTAAACACGCCAGAACATTAAATTTTATCTCTGAGATGGTATAAATTGGCTTTATAGGAATCGCTTTCAAAATAGTCAGTGGGCGTGGCAGCACTTTAGGGAAACCCATATCTTGAGATCTGCTCAACCGATTTCAACCAAATTCGGTGCATAACGTTCTTTTCATGTTTCTATGTCATATGTGAATGGATCGGACTACAACCACGCTTACTTCCCATGTAACACCATTTTCAATTCCATCTGATTCTTTCACTTTCCACTATGCAAATCAGGTAACAATGATTATATCGGGGTAAAACTTTGCGTGAATAATGCAATTAAAGTATGCCACCTTGCGGCCAAAAATTGACTAAATCGAACCAAAACTGTTCAAACCCCTAAGTACTAAATATGTGGACCCCAGTGCCTATAGTTGACCTTCTACCGAAAATATCAGTCAATCCAACAAAGAAATCTCAAACGAGTATACCATTTGACTTTGCGAGAGTATAAAATGTTCGGTTACATCCGAACTTAGCCCTTCCTTACTTGTCATATTTCTTTTCGTTTAAAATCGCCTTGCTTCCCGCCCGGGAAGCACCCAGCGGGTGCTTGCTGATTGGTATTAAGTGCTCCAGTGCAGATTAGCGTTACAGCGTTACAGCGATTTTGATTTTATCTGAACTGTAGCTGGCACGCAAATGTGTGTTGCTTCGGCATTTCAGCAAATAATTTCTTATTTATTTATGTTTTATTTTCATTTTTTGATTATCTTTATTTTTTTTATCTCTTCGACTTTAACTTTGTAAAAATAAATGAGTGCAAATCTATTTATAGGCCAACCAGTGGCCGGGATACAAGTTGTCTTGCTGCTAGGCTGCTAAGAAATGGAGAATGAAAGTGGTTGAGGCAGAACATGGAATTTGAACATGAAAATCGTTGCATATAGCTCTATAGATATAAAAATATTTTTATCATGATCTTCATCATCAAGTTTGCAGCATTGCTTTCTACAATAATCTGAGCCAAATTTCGTGTTTCAAATAAACAAGTTTTCTATAAAAGGACATGCGTTTGATAATGATAATGGTCCGATATCTACAGTTCCGACAAATAAAAAACTTCTTGGGGAGAAAAAAACGTGTGTAAAATTTCAGATCGATATCTCACAAACGGAGGTACTAGTTGGGTTGAGTTGAATTTTTCAGTACGCCTGTTAATATATCAATCTAAATATTTAAAAATGTATTTTATTTTATTATAATGGTTTTTTAATACTTTCATCATTATCATAAGGAAAAGTATAGAATGCCTTGTACTTCAAAGTACTAAATAGCATATTTTCATACAAATTCGCTTGCACACTAACCTCTTCATTTGTAATATGTACATATATATGTATGTATGAATGTACCACGTATTTTTCACTAATGCGAACATTCAATTCCAATTATCGACACTCAAATGCAATAAATAATATCAAAAGAAGAAAATTTTAATTGCATGCAAGCACTTTTAGTTGCCGTCAATCAGTCTCTTTACATATCTCTCACTCACTCACTCTGTCATTGGCTCTCGCTTTTAAAACGTCGGCTAGCTGGACGACTGAGCCACTACCGGTTTAAACAAAGGCTGCAAGAAGTCAAGTGAATTGGTGTTACAAGCCCCAGTGTATACCTATACATATACACATATAACTAGTAAATATACATATGTACTATTGTGCATATACAAGTAATCTAGCTGTAAAGTGAGGCGCTTCGTAGTGGCAACTAACCATAAAAATATATGTACTTATGATAATGTGAAGTTGTATGGTTCGTACAAAAACAAGTTTTCAAACTTGACCAACGTCGAAAACGTTTACAAAGCCATAATCAAAACATGGAAAGCAACAACAAATAGAGCATAAACAAGATCAGCTGTAATTATGTATATATGTATGTCTTAACTCGTTTATAAATATGTACGAAGGTTGCCACAAAGAACGAAAAAATAAGCCAACATATCAAATAAGTAATACATGGTTTGAATAGCGAAGGTTTAAAGAGATTTTATACCGTCCAGAAATGATCAGAAAACTGAGAAAACGCTCAAACATGCAGAAAAATAAGAGAGTGTACAATCGACTCAATTTTATTTTGCTCTTTCGAAATCTTTAATATTACAAGCACATATTTAAGGAAATGTGTGAGATCTGAGAGGAAAGGTTGCCAGATTTAAGTAAAATTATTTTAACTGATTTATTGGAATTTTCATTAACACTAATAAAAAATAGATTTCTCTATGATTATTTAATCAGCCATCAGAAGAGGTTTATTCATATCAGATATTCGTTTAATAAAAATCATATTTAATTTGAGATTAGGGGATCATATAATTAATTGATATTACTGTGTGATAAATTTGTTCTCCTAAATTTTCCATCTCACTTTCGCAAAAAATTTATCTGAGGCGATTTTCGTAGAAATTTGCGATAATTTTCTTTCGGTAACGTCGGAGACCTTACAAAGTATGTACATATATAAATGATGAGCGTGACTAGCTAAGTCGATTTAGCTATGTAAAACTTTACTCACGTCCGTTTCTCTTTACTATAGGCGACTATCACAGCCAAGTCCTTGTATCGCAACCTATTTAATTGACAAGATATTTCGCATGGATTATTTCCCAAGGCAATGCTACAACCTTCAAACATATTATTAAGATCGGACCGCTATAGCTGCCATAACAGCTGATAGATCAAAGGCAAGTCCTTGTATGGAAAACTTTTTACTTAGGCAAGTTATCTTCACGAAATATGGCATAGAATACTTTTGAAGGCAACGCTACAATCTCCAAACATACTATTCCGATCAGGTCACTACAACATATACGCTTTTAGATTTAGTTATACATCATTCGGTGCAGCCGAAGTTAACGTTTTTTCTTTCACATTTTTCCTATGAATTAAATTAAAGCTTGTGCTGAAATCTAAATATATATGTATACATAATTTATTGGTATGAACCATAACTGGTTTGCCTATAAGAAACGGTGAATTTAAAAATTACCAAGCCAAGTTTTGGTTGTACGCTACTTTACAATTCCTTGGCATATCTTTGATCAAAAAAAAAAGTAAAGATTTTATTTATACAAAACCAAAAATGACGTCCGCATAATAGCATAAACACAATACGGGCGACGGCGAATTTCGCCCACCATGACGATTTTTGAGATAGAGCTACAAATATTTCTAATTTTATCGCCGACCGCGGAGGCAAAAACAGCATCACCATATCAAAGAAAGATTATTTTCAGTAAAAAATGTAAGAAAATGTCTGCGTTGGCAATATTAAGATAGTTTATGGTTGGTTTCGTCATTTATTGTGATATTTTTGAGCGCTGAATATACACTAGCTGCGACGAAAATCGTCCGCATTGTGGTTTACACGGCGGCAACGCTCGGCGAAAATCCGTCCGACGTCGTCGCCGAGTACGACGAATATTCGCCGTCGCCCGTGTTGTGTTTATGCTATAAATTGTACATAAAATTAACAGCTATTGTTTTGAAATGAGTTACAAAGTTCTCACTGGGCTGTTCCAACTCAAGCGAAGTCCAATCAGAATACACACAAGAGAGAGAGCAAAACTCAGTGCGCACACTCCACTCGATTTGTTGAACTCAAGAGCAGAGTAAGTTGATGAATGAAAATTACAGCAATACATTCTTGTACGATCATGCAATTGTGGTATTTTTCAGATATTGTGGAACTGTCGTGCGGAACGGTTTAGTTCGTTTGATAAGCGTTTAAGTAGACGATAACATGCGTGTGCGGCTCGTTGGCTGGTGATTTCATTTGTGTGTATTTATAGTCGAAAGATAGAATATATATGTGAATGCAGCCATAACATATACAGTTAAACGTATATACGAAAAGATATACAAAAATGAATGTCAAAGAATTAAGCAAATTTAATTCTGGTCGACGAACAACAAAAGAATCAATTAGCCTAAATTAGAGCAAGAAAACAATTTTAAATAGCGAGCGGAAATTGAAGTTACTAGTGCAAGAAGATTTCAGGGGAGAAAAAGAAAAAATAATAGGTAATTCAAGAAAGGTTTGTGTGTTCGTGTTGACGCAGTGAAAGCAAACTTAACTAAACCAAGAAACGAGTAGAATCAAAGCTTTTGCAAAGCGTTAGCTTTGTGTCGAGTGCTTAAGCCGTGTTGTTATTGTTGTTACTGTGCACAGTTGTGGAAATTAAAGAAAAATAATTAAGAAATTGCTGCGGGTCAAAGCAAAATGAAATGAAATGCTGGGGTTAAAACCAGTAAAAAAAATTATGGCCAGCAGTTTTTACAAGTGCAAAATTAAATAAAGAGTTAAAATTGGCGTAAAATAATTTAAACAAAGTCGTGCAAAAATCACCCGACTTCATTTTTAGTGCCGGGTTTAAATGTGAGTGTGTTTTAAACAATAGAAAATAACAACAAAAAAGTGCAGCGCTTAAACCAACGAGTGGCAATTTAACCTACAAAAAATTAAATGAAGAAATGAAATTAAAATTAAAAAAAATATTGAGTTATGGTTTAAAATATTGACTGCCGACCCTCTCGTGGTAGTAACTCAAACCAATTTAAATGAACTCAAACGAATATTAAATTTTAAATAATTTTTGCACATAAATAAATTATTATTTTGTGACACCCAAAAGATTTAAACCAACTTTAAAGTAAACATAAATCAAAATTTCTAAAATTATACCCAAATTTAGTTCAAAACAATATCTAAATATTACCGAAATGCCTCAACAAGACAGCGAAGCCCTCCGCGTCTGCGCACTCGCCATGCCCATTCCGCCCACCACCACATCCGCCAGCGACAACAGCGCGGTAGCAAACACAAAAACGCGCCCAAACTTGCCATTTACTGCCACAATGTGCTGCAAAGCGTTGCTTTTGTTGTTGTTATCACTAGGTTGCCTTCTCTCTGCCGTCACCTGTGTACCTGCGCCAGCCACAGCACTAGCTGCTGAGACAACGCCAGCATTGCGCGCCTCACCACCTTCACCGTCACTCAATGCTATGGTCGATGATCAGACTTTCTTAGCATCAAAGCGGCACTTTGAGCGCTCACCAGCTGTGGCATCTCAAGAAACTGCTGAAACCGCTGCAGCGGCCAACTCAGATATTGACGATGACTATTATGACGAGGAGGAGCCTGAAGCCGGAAATGGTAACCAAAATACGAGTAGTCGTCAGCGGCGTCATAAAGAATTATCGCCAACCGCTCGCTTTGGTTATGATGGCACCAAAATTAACCCACAACAATTCTATACGCAACAAATGGTAGCGAACGCTTTGGAAGGCAACATTAACGCTGACACGCATCTTGCGCTCCCCAATAATCAGCAATCGCCGATGGCCGCACGAGTGAATAACGACTTATCGATATGGAGTTTGATGGATCATGCGAGACGCATGGATATTTGTGATGTGTGTAGCTGCGTTGGTAATACCTATGTGGCTGTCACTTGTGATTATAACGAACGAAAATCGAGGGTAAGTGAACAATTTGTTGATGATTATAAACATTTGGTATGGAAGCTAGGAGAGGTTCTTCCAAAATATCGTTTCAAACAAAAATGTAAAGGGTATTATAGCAATATCTGCAACCTGGAAGAATATGCTTCTGACTGCTAGATATTGATGGCACATCAACATCGAACTAAGAAAAAAACTTTCCAAATGAAATTGAAACATTTTTTTTTGGTTGTTTTTTTCCAAAATACAACCACAACGTAGTTAAAAAAAAACTAATTTCGGTTGCACCGAGGCCATAATATCATTCACAAGAACTTTATTTTGATCGTTCAGTTTGTATAGCAGCTATATGCTACAGTGGTTCGATATCGGCAGTTCCTACAAACGAGAAGCTTCTTAGGGATAAAAAAATGTATGCAAAATTTCAAATCGATATCACAAAAACTGTGGGACTAGTTCGCGAATATACAGACAGACCGACGGACATAGCTAAATATACCCTAGCTAGTCACGCTGATCATTTATTTATATATATATTTTATAGGATCTCCGACGTTTCCTTCTGAGTGTTACAAACTTAGTAGCAAGCTTAATAAGTATACTCTGTTCAGGGTATAACACACAACAATATACTTGTAGTTCGAAAGCAAAGCATCTTTCAAGGTTTCTATGGTAGTCATTATTTCTAATGACTTTTATATTGTTTTGTGCTTGTCTAATTGCTTCAATGGTCCCTTACTCTATTCTCAAAGTGATTAGATCGATTGTTTTTTTTTTTTTTGCAAACCTACAAATTTGTTTAAAACGCTTTCTAATTTACTGCTGACCGAGACCTTTTAGCAACCATATGAAACCGTCGACAGTAAAGTCTGCAAAACCAGAACGGACCGGCATATTCAGGGAATATTTAATAATTTAACAAAAGCAAACAAGAGCGCTACTTCAATAATTAGTTTAACCTGATAACAAACCAAATGGCAGACAAAAATCTGGTACTTACAATATAAAAAATTTATTATAAGTGAATTAGTTCTTTTACATAAATTATTGAAATTTACAGTGAGTTTTCTTTATTCATACGAGTTATTTTAAACTGTACTGAAAAATTTGTTTACGTTTTTTTTAAAAAAAAAAAAAGATCGAAAAAAATTAATTTCAAACTCTAAACTTTTGTGGGGCAAATTTGTTGGATAATTTTGGCGATTATTGTATCACATATTATAATATCTAGAACATTTTTCTTCTAACCCATAACTTATTTGGACATTCATGACCCCAATTATGTGCCAAGAGCGATCCGCATTTTAAGAGAAGTTATGTTATATAAAGCAGCGCTGTATCCAAAATTTTCGTAAAAATTGTTCAATAACTATTAAGATCTCGATCTGATATGTGATATTTGGATAAGTATCATAAATAACATCACTGCACGAGATTTGATTTTCTGCGAATCGCTACTTCAATCAACAACTTTGTATTAACATGTAAACATATTAACATATATGATTAAATATGTGTGTAAATACAGATATATACACATATACTCGTACATATATTAATTTGATCAGCGCTGACTAATCGACAGGTTTCTACAATGCTCAAGTAGCGATTAATCGGTGTTAATGTAACATATACTTTTATTCGCTGCGTATGTGTATATAAGTACATAGGTACATACATACAGATAATCGCAATTATTAAAAAATGTAAAGTTTTAGCAAAAAGAACAAGGGCATAGCTATTAATGAAGAGAGTTTATTTGTAAACAATTGCGCATGTCTTTCTCTAGCTATAGAAGGTATTGCATCGCGAAGAAACTTTCTCTGATAGAAAAAATTTTTTAAATGATAACGGAAACCAAGGTCTAAGCGGACTAATAGCTCAAACAGTCACCGACATTCCTCTCTTCCGTACTTACCGCCCATATCAAACCAAATTTTCAAAAGCAAACCAAATTTGTCAACGCAGAAATCGGTTGTTCTCTTTTGTTTTCATTTCACCAATGTTGCCATTGTTCTACTTGTATAAACGATTTTTCACATTTAGTTTTTTAGTTATAATTTTTCATAATGTTTAAGCTCAAAACTAAAATCCAACTATTAAAAATAGCTTACCTAGTTATAAATAAATGTATTCGACTGTGATTTTGAGTTATTTCAAGAATATTTCAAATATATTCAAGTTAATGTTTTAATTACTACAAAATATCGAGACCTGCGTTGCAAGAGATTGCTCTCTCACTCTCAGCTCACTCGTTTCTACCGCAAAAATCCAATTTTCGCGGATATCCTACCGTACGGTCTGTTGAAGCGGATGGTAGAATGGGTGGTGAGTGTTCATTTACATTGCGCTCTCATAAGATATGTCGTATCAACTGACGTACGGAAGGGAGGAATGTCGGTGACTGTTTGAGCTCTAAGGCATCAGTGAACTTTGTTTTTTTTTATATATTTTATTTGCAATATATCTGGTGGTCATGGTGTTGGTCTTATAGTATTGAAGGTTAATTCTTAATAACCCAAAATCCAGGGAATTTAATATTATTGATAATAAAAATATGAAATACCTAATTTATTTAAAACACCTTAGATAAACCTTGTATTTATAAGATTTTAATAATATGGGACCGCAAAAAATGTTTCGAATGAATGAATAATGAAATATATATGTATATTTAGGGAGGTTTTTGAATCAAAGTACAAAATCCAAACGATTTGTACAGATGAAATGAAATAAGGACTTAAGGTGCACATCTGGTGTGACAGCCCAAAAAGGGGATTTTTGGGAATCATAAAAAAAACTACAGTATCAATTGGTTTAAAATGTTAAGGATATATTTACACATATTTTCGGAATACACAGTCAATGTCTTGAAGCGAAAAATTAAATATTTTTCGCGTTACATGCGATCTTGATCCAAGATGAAACCTAAAATAAACTAATTTTACCCAAAATTTTGGTAAATTTTAGTCTGCCAAATTCAATCAAAGAAGGTCATTGAACTGTAGTCAGAAATAAGCAGAAATAATTTGAATTGTCTCAACTGATCATTCGAATAATGCTCATTAGAAAAAAAACGTAAATCAGATTGATTGACATGACTATCAAGGCTACACTTTAAAATGCTATAACTCGAAAAACCGACATAATCATTTAAAAATTTAATACATTATTTTTAAAAGTATAAACTATTGATATACGTAAGAATAAAAAATTAGAATTTTCGAAATTTCACACTAGATATGCCCCTAAAAGAAGAATTTACCCATTAAAATATTAAAAAAATATTTTAAAATATTGAAAAAAAAAATATTTTAATAATTAAAAAAACAGCTAATAAAATAATTATATTAAAAACAAAAAGATTAAATGACAAATGTTTGCCTATTAATTTTTTGCGAGTACTATTTAAAGCTGAAAGTATTCACCTGTGATATAATTTTGCACAACAGTAACTAGAATTTATGTGTATATACATAAGTACATATGAATGTATGTATCTACTCGTATGTATGTGCCTAAGCCTGCTACATATGTTTTTCGCACATTTCAAATAAACACTTGCCATTTTATATTTTTTTTTATCGCAAATATTGGTCAGAGTCCCACTGCTGCTGTGATAAGTAATTAATATGACAAATTGAATTATGTGGACACAGTGATAAATACACAAGCACGAAAGCAATTTGTCATCACTATTCATTCATATGTACATATGTGTATCGGATCACCTTAAATACAAACATTTTATTTCATTATTATTTTTTTTTTTTGGTAGCAAAAAACTTTTCGAACTGACCCATCATTGCAAATGTTTGACAGCGCTCCACTTTTTCACTAATTGTTGCTGTAATTGAAATTACAAAAAAGGATCATTAGCTTCTACGCAATCATTGTTATGAACTGCTGTTAATTCGTGAAGTAAATTAAGCACAGTTAACTCGCAACAATAACAACAATTAGCATTGAGTAACATCTACATACAGATACGAGTATAATGACAATAAATAGTCTTTGGTGCGCCAAAATGCGTCCATTGACCAATGCATTGCCATTGAAGAGAACAGTGTCTGGGCCTGGTACATTTCGGGCTTTCGGCTCGCCGAACATCTGTTGCGTTGATGCGTGTTGCGTACGGTAAAAAGTCGACAGCTAGCTAATAGCTAAGTGACTAGCCAAACAAGCGCGGCTGACTAACTAACTAGCTAACCGGACAATTAGTGAACAGCGCTAACCAGTTAGTCAGGTATACATACAAGTACACGTGCATGTACATACATAAGTTTGTATGTTTATAGGTATAGCATGTGTTTATTGACAAAATTAGCAATGAATGAGGAAAAGTGGCGTCAGCAAAACACTAAATAAATGTATATTGTGAGCGCTTATATAAGACATATGTATGTACCATATGTGTTATGAAAATAAGCCGGCTACCGATGATCGTAACGACGCGACGTATTTCGCGTACGTATGTATGTATGCCTAAATGGCAGTTACACAGCACATTTAGAGATATTCTGTTTATTTACTTCGTACGAAGATATAATTGCATATGTTTGTATATGTTTAGCTAATATGAATACATATCTTCTCTTAACATTGAAATTAATAATTATATGGATTTTAAGGAGTGGCCTCACTTTGCGTGTAGTTCTCGAAGTTGAATTGCATGCAAAACTAAAAACAATAATAAATACAAACAGAGCAAATAAAGAATAAATAAATGAAAAAACAAAAGAGTTATAGTAAAAAAAGATAGTTAAACATATAGTAAATAATTTAAAAAAGAATAATTAGTAATAAATAAATCAGGGAAATAAATAATTTTGTAGAAAATTAGACAAAATATACAAATAAATGTATATTAAAAAAACAGTAAGTAAAAAATAAATAAATGAAATATTAGATCAGATATATGATAAAATAATAATACATTTTTAATTTATTATTTATTAATTATTAATTAATTATATATTTAAATTTGTAATAAATTGTATTAAAACAAGAAAAAACGG